TGAAGATTTGTTTCTTGTTTTTATTGTGAAGCTGAAGCCTAGCTTATCCAGTTGCTTTATTGATGGACATGAGGCCTGATGTATTAGGTTCCGTTATCACCGAACCTGAACCTTTGTACATTTTATTGCTTTATTGATGAACGTAAAACCTGATGCATCATATTTCTCTGTCCTTGAATGTGAAGCCTCCTACTTTTCAAGAACTTGCTCAAAAACTTCAAGATGGCTTCTGAATAGAACTCTTTTCACACTTATTGTGTTTTTAACGATGTATGCAGCGCCGTTGAGCATCTGTGATCAAAACTAGGTGCTATACAACCAATTATTATTATTATTATTATAAATATTCTCTTGAAACAGGACGGGATAAATGTAGGGTAACGTATAGTGATGGGACGATACAATGGAGAATCATGACATTCTTCCCAGTATTACAAGTATCGATCACAGTCAATAGATTCATAATGTTGGCCATGTCAACTGTTACGTCAAACAAACACTAATTAATAATGTAAATGAACATATTTCCATCCACAGGCCATTATTGACACCGATGAATGAAGGCAATGAGGGTGCTGGGTATTTGGCCATCTTGTCCTGGCCATAAGTGGTCAAGTACACACATTTCTGTATTTCTCTTCTTTTCTGTCTGCCATTTCATGTATTTACCATACACAAGCATGCATAAAAAATCTATGGGAGAGGGCATTCTAAGTTGTGATAAATTGTGATAACTTGTGCCCAATGTTTTTCATGAGAATGAAATGTTTCAACAAAACAAGGGAGATTTAAACATCTTACTTTGCTCCCAGTTTAAACACTTATCCCTGTCATCACTGTTGGAGTGAGTATGGTTTTACGCCGCTTTTAGCAATATTTCAGCAATTTCACAGTGAGGGACAGCAGAAATGCTCACATTGTATGTATGTGGGGAATCAAACCCAGGTCATCGGTGTAACGAGGGAACACTTTAACCACTAGGTTACCCCACTGCCCGTCACTGTTGGAGTGAGTGAGTGAGTTTAGTTTTACGCTGCACTCAGCAATATTCCAGCTATATGGCGGCGGTCTTTAAATAATCGAGTCTGGACCAGACAATCCAGTGATCAACAGCATGAGCATCAATCTGCGCAATTGGGAACCGATGACATGTGTCAACCAAGTCCCGTCACTGTTGGACACAGTGAGGCTAGGAAATAATTTAAATTGACATCCACCAGTGAATTATGCTGCTTAAGATCAGACTGATGTCCACTGATCAATGTTAATCATTAATTGATAAATTATTGTTCAAGCAGTGATCAATGTTAATCATTAATTGATAAATGTCTGTTCAAGCAGAAGTGAGTCGATATACATCAGATAAGATCATTTATTTTACTGATTTTCGTACTGAACCAATTAGTTTAGTAATCTGATCAAATTGATGTCTCATGGCGTACCATAGGTATGTACAGCTGGCATACAAACACGCCCACCAGCATCGCCCCAATAATCAATCTGAGATTACACAACACAGAATACTCAATTCAAGCAGATTGCAACTACTTACATTACATGAACTAACCTTGATTAAACATCAAATATAACCACATTACATTGTTGTTACCATGGTTACCGGAACATTATTTATTAATATATGCAGCATATATTTCATGCTGCTGGATGACTTAATGTATTTAAAATCTACCGAATGACGTCATGTTATTAAGAATTCACTATACTTTTAACACTGAGATCTAAAGGGATTTTTAAATCAATGTTAGTTTACATACATCCTCATTAATGAAAACAATGCTGATGGAGATAATCATTCTTAGAGCTAAAAAAGAAATTTGATTTAGAAAACTGAAGTGGACACACTTTGCTTTGTGTTATCTTTTGTTTAACTCAGCATAGAGAAATATTCCACCTTTAGCATAGAGAAATATTCCACCTTTAGCATAGAGAAATATTCCACCTTTAGCATAGAGAAATATTCCACCTTTAGCATAGAGAAATATTCCACCTTTAGCATAGAGAAATATTCCACCTTTAGCATAGAGAAATATTCCACCTTTAGCAGAGAAATATTCCACCTTTAGCATAGAGAAATATTCCACCTTTAGCATAGAGAAATATTTTAGCACCTTTAGCATAGAGAAATATTCCACCTTTAGCATAGAGAAATATTCCACCTTTAGCATAGAGAAATATTCCACCTTTAGCATAGAGAAATATTCCACCTTTAGCATAGAGAAATATTCCACCTTTAGCAGAGAAATATTCCACCTTTAGCATAGAGAAATATTCCACCTTTAGCATAGAGAAATATTCCACCTTTAGCATAGAGAAATATTCCACCTTTAGCATAGAGAAATATTCCACCTTTAGCATAGAGAAATATTCCACCTTTAGCATAGAGAAATATTCCACCTTTAGCATAGAGAAATAATCCACCTTTAGCATAGAGAAATATTCCACCTTTATGACTACGAACTGTAAGTGTGTAATGTTTTCATACGCCTGAGACTTGGCCTAAATGATTTATATATCAATCAAGGAAGATATTCATCTATTATAAAATCACAAAGGTTCTGTCCATTTTGTAATACTGTAGAGAATGAATTACACTTTCTATTTCTTTGTCCTGCATATAATGATTTAAGGCAACTGTATTTTCCACAATGGCTACTATCAAATATTAATGCTACAAAACTGTATTCAATACTTTCATGTAAAGCATCCCTATTACAATATAAGGTAGCTCTATTTATTTATCACGCGCTTATATTGAGAAGAGATTCAATGTAACGTGTGTGTCGCATGTTGTATATGTTGTACATATCATACATATTTATTTTGTATATGGGCCTCTGGCTTTCATGCAATAAACTGATTGATTGATTGTGTGAGTGAGTTTAGTTTTACGCTGCACTCAGCAATACCCCAGCTATAATACAGCGGTCTGTAAATAATCAAGTCTGGACCAGACAATCCAGTGATCAACATCATGATCATTCATGATTCATTGATCTACACAATGAGATACGATGACATGTGTCAACCAAGTCAGCGAGCCTGACCACCGATCCTGTCAGTCACCTCTTATGACAAGCATGGGTTGCTGAAGACCAATTCTAAGCTGGATCTTCATGGGTATGAACTGTAAGACACTGAATATAGACCAGACGAACTTGTGATCAATATTCCGCCAACAATCCAAGCCATCAGGGTATGAAACAGAATCAACATGGTCACCAAGTCTCTCATAACCAGCATAGGTGCCTGGAACTATTCTCACATGAATGATATCCCCAGGAAATTGCAATTTCCAAATCTGAAAAACATCTAAGCTATAAATCTGAAGGGAAATAACCATTAAACTGCAGACAAGTAGACCTTGACAGTTTACTTGGTTTCCATTCTTAACCTCAGGGCAATAAACAGCATGACAAAGTTAATATGTTTAAAGATTGGATGATTATGACAGATCAGAATCCGTTATTTTTTCCGCTTAATAATACCAGCTCTTGACTTGTTTGAAGCAGGCCACGATTAAGAATAATTCTGATGCTAAATGGTCGTTTATGCTGGGCAACTGCAAGACACACCAAGGAATCAATAAAACCTGGCACCTGAAAGGGCAGGATATCAGCACACTAAGATGGGGATACAGTTAAAACCCAACTGGTGTAAATTCACCGGTATTGTTAGACATATAGCAATTGCAATAGATTACTTAACTCAAATCCTATTATTCTCACAGTTAGATGTAAGCATCATCATTGCCTCTAGATTTATGCAATGGAAAATATTATGAATTGAACATGTTGAATAGCATTTTCTAATTGACATTGGTCCTCAAAAGATTGGATTTATATTCATTATCATGTTTAATGTTTGTTGGTATTTTCTATCATGTTCCTTCTCTGCAAGAATACTCCATGTATTACACATACATTGGAAGTCACATGTGTCACACACACACACACACACACAAGGTGACATGTCCCCAATTGTTCCCTGTTACATACAGACTGAAACAGACTTTTCAGTCTAGTATAAATGTATTATTTTTTAATAACAACCTAATTTCACCAATCCTTATTGCATCTAGTCCTGCCTGAGCAAGACAAAAATCTTTACATTTTCTATCAGTTCTGAAATATAGAAATCTGGTTCAGAATTACAGCCCTCAAATGCTAGTAGTACAACTGAGGACTATCCATTGGGGATTGTTACACAGCACAATTTAGAAATCCTGGGCCTACAGATTATCATGAATTTCAAAGACTTACAAGACATTATTACACTAAATGACATTTCTTTACTGTCTACCATTGCCTCACAATAAATATGAAATATGCTGTCATAACATCTCGATCATAAATGTTCTACACAATAAAAACAATTACCGGACAGCCACCAGCAAAAACTAGTTAGCATTTGTTACCCATGGGAGTTGTTAAACTGAGCAAAAGAGTCTACTTCTTCATAGATGAGCAATTGTTTCGATGTGGAGACCCGGATTCGTAAAGGTTTAAACGTGGATATGAAATGAATAATAATTTACCTACCAGATGACGTGAAGATCATTGGTTTAGGCAAATAAATTCATAAGAAATTAACCTTGAAATTACAGGATACGAGTCCGTTACAAACAGCAGGCTTGCTAACATTGGTTTAGACCACCGGCATGCTCGGTGGGAAATTACTACAATCCTCCATATGTAGTAGGTATAGGTAGCCTCATGGTAACACGAGGGGAGCAGCTGGGAGAATAAACATAGCTTAACGTTCTTCGTTGTGTTAACGTCACTAAACATTCCTTTAGAAAAACGTGACCGTGGCGTGTCATGGGTATATACACAATGTTATCACAGTAGGGTGTTGTCAGTGTACACAGACTCGCATGGTGACACTCAAGTCTAGGTCACGGGTTACGAAGGTTCGCTGAAACAAACCGTGACACGAAATCCGGCGAATGTTTTCTCTGAACATAGAAGAAACCGGCTTACCTGAACTGTAAAAACAATAATGCACAGTAGAGGGTGGCGACGTCGACAAAACGGCTGAGGCTTGGTGTTCAGTATACCTAGCAAATCGGGCAAACAGTAAAATATTATCTGGTTTATCTGCTACACCGACCATCATCCGCCATGATGAAAATGTGGCATTTGATGAAGGCACTTCCGCTAGGGAGCAGTTATTGCGAGAAAACACCTCAACTCATTTACATTTACGACAAGACAGAATAGTAGAATAAATAACGTTTTGGGACTTTTTATAGTACAAAAGTAGGAGTATATAGTAGATGATAATTAATAACTATCGTTTATAAATGTGTTTATTCTCTTTTATCAAGTAAATTGTTAGTAATAATTATTCTCCCTCGTTTACCCTAAAAAGGGGGTGTGACAGGGGGCGTGTCGACTAAAACGAGTTTCTGAGTCAATAAACCGGACGAAAGCCAACTAATGTTTTAATGCATGAAGTTCTAATATCATACATTTCCATTATGATCTTTCACAAAACTATAAAGAAGATGAATACGTATAAAGGCTACTTAAACTATGTATTCGTAATATATTCACGTGCGCCGTTTGTTAATTTAACTTTTATTTAGAAAATGAATTATGAATGACATCTTTTTGATAAGACAATAGTATACAATTTAGCTCTCTGTATCACATCCATTTAATGTATTCAAAAGCATTATTGCGTTGCATTTGTTAGATGGGTGTACGCCTTTAAGCTGTATTGTTAAGCTTTTTCGTTTATATAAATATTTACATTATTTTTATACAGAAATAAATGTTTCGTAATGACAAACAATACCGATGCACCGTTAAATTTGGATAAAGAAAGGGTAAAATACAATATATTCACATAAGTCATTTGATCAATTGTCTAAATGCAAATCGCTTGAGGGACCACAGGGCATCGTTTACATATGCATACGGGTGTTTCTGTCGTTGTCAAGTATTCTAAGTCATTGAACTTATTGAAATTTTAAATACTTTGTTATCAGAAGAACAGAGGACTTGACTTGCAAATCCTTTCGCTTATAGTTACCATTTTAGATATTCGTAGTAATATTTTATACAAATAGCTATGTTTCTTTATTTTTTGTATATTGTGTATATATGTATATTTTATGCTTTTATAGTCTCTCATAACTCCAAATGGAGTGGCTCATGGTTTTTTATGTAATTTATGCGCTTATAAATATGTTGTATGCAATTAAAATGTACCAAATGAGGTGAGACTTTAATAAATAATGATCTATCTACTTCCATTATGTAACAGTGTTATATTTATATACACGTGCAACTGTGTAGGAAAGACTAATTAAACTATTTATAAAAACAATTTCATAATTTAAAACATTATTCACAGTTACAAGAACTCGTGTTGAAATAACAATGTGACATCATTCCTTTGATGACACAACCCGGTGGTTTTGATAATACCCTGATACTGACAAATCTATGGCATTGACAGTACGCTGAAAGTGACAACACGATGATATTGACAACATGGGGCTATTGACAACATGATGGTATTTCCAAGATGATGACATTGACGATGGTGACGACACCACCTCACCCCTCACACCAAGCCATCCATATCACCCTCACTCCAAGCCCACACCACCTCACCCTCACTCCGAGTCCACCCCACCTCACTCTCACTCCGAGCCCACCCCATCTCACCCTCACTCCGAGCCCACCCCATCTCACCCTCACTTCAAGCCCAAACCACCTCACCCTCACTCCAAGCCCACCCCATCTCACCCTCACTCCGAGTCCCACACCATCTCACCGTCACTCCAAGCCCACACCATCTCTCGTCCTCACTCCATGTCCACCCACCTCATCCTCACTCCGAGTCCACCCCATCTCATCCTCACCCCCGAGTCCACCCCCTCACCCTCACTCCAAGCTCCACCCCATCTCACCCTCACCACAAGTCCACCCCATCTCACCCTCACTCCAAGTCCGCCCTCACCTCTCACCCTCACTCTAAGTCCACCCCATCTCACCTCACCCAAGCCCACCCCATCTCACCCCTCACCCCAAGTCCACCCCATCTCACCACTCACCCCAAGTCCCCACCATCTCACCCTCACTCCAAGTCCACCCCATCTCACCCTCACTCCAAGCCCACACCATCTCACCCTCACTCCATGTCCACACCATCTCACCCTCACTCCAAGCCCACCATCACACCCCTCACTCCAAGTCCACCCATCTCACCCTCACTCCAAGTCCACCCCATCTCACCCCTAACTCCAAGCCCACACCATCTCACCCCTCACTCCATGTCCACCCCACCTCCTCACTCCTCACCTGAGTTCGCCCCATCTCACCCTCACTCCATGTCCACACCACCTCACCATCACCCCAAGCCCAAACCATCTCAACCTCACTCCAAGGCCACCATCTCACCCTCACTCCAAGTCCACCCCATCTCACCCCTCACACCAAGTCCACCCCCACCTCACCCTCACCCAAGTCCACCCCATCTCACCCCCACCCCAAGTCCACCCCATCTCACCCTCACTCCAAGCCCACACCATCTCACCCTCACCCCAAGTCCACCCCATCTCACCATCACCACAAGCCCACACCATCTCACCCTCACTCCAAGCCCACACTATCTCACCCTCACCCCAAGTCCACCCCATCTCACCATCACCCCAAGCCCACCTCTATCTCACCCTCACCCCAAGTCCACCCCATCTCACCATCACCCCAAGCTCCCACCACCATCTCACCCTCACTCCATGTCCACCCCATCTCACCCTCACTCCAAGCCCCACCCCATCTCACTCCCTCACTCCATGTCCACACCATCTCACCCTCACTCCAAGCCCACCATCACACCCTCACTCCAAGTCCACCCATCTCACCCTCACTCCAAGTCCACCCCATCTCACCCTCACTCCAAGCCCACACCATCTCACCCTCACTCCATGTCCACCCCACCTCACCCTCACTCCGAGTTCGCCCCATCTCACCCTCACTCCATGTCCACACCTCTCACTCCATCACCCCAAGGCCCAAACCATCTCAACCCTCACTCCAAGGCCACTATCTCACCCCTCACTCCAAGTCCACCCCATCTCACCCTCACCCCAAGTCCACCCCATCTCACCCTCACTCCAAGCCTCCACCCCATCTCACCCACCTCCAGGTCCACAACACCTCACCTCACTCCAAGCCCACACCACCTCACCCTCACTCCAAGTCCACACCACCTCACCCTCACCCAAGCCCACCCTCACTCCAAGTCCACACCATCTCACCCTCACTCCGAGTCCGACCCATCTCACCCTCATTCCATGTCCACACCACCTCATCCTCACCCAAAGCCCACACCATCTCAACCTCACTCCAAGTTCACCCCATTTCAACCTCACTCCAAGTCCACCCCATCTCACCCTCACTCCAAGTCCACCCCATCTCACCCTCACTCCAAGCTCACACCACCTCAACTCACCCCAACCAAACCAAATCTATCTCACATCACATCAAGTCATCCCACCTAACCTCAACCCAACCAAATCCACCTCACCCGACATAACCTCAATCCAACCAAATCCACCTCACCCGACATAACCTCAATCCAACCAAATCCACCTCACCCGACATAACCTCAATCCAACCAAATCCACTCTCACCCGACATAACCTCAATCCAACCAAATCCACCTCACCCGACATAACCTCAATCCAACCAAATCCACCTCACCCGACATAACCTCAATCCAACCAAATCCACCTCACCCGACATAACCTCAATCCAACCAAATCCACCTCACCCGACATAACCTCAATCCAACCAAATCCACCTCACCCGACATAACCTCAATCCAACCAAATCCACCTCACCCGACATAACCTCAATCCAACCAAATCCACCTCACCCGACATAACCTCTCCAGCCAATCCAACTCAAATCCAAATCCACCTCAGATCCATCCAATCCAACCAAATCCACCTCACCCGACATAACCTCAATCCAACCAAATCCACCTCACCCGACATAAAGCCAACCAAATCCACCTCACCCGACATAACCTCAATCCAACCAAATCCACCTCACCCGACATAACCCAATCCAGCCAACCTCAATCCAAATCCACCTCACCCGACATAATAAGCCTCAATCCATCCACCAAATCCACCTCACCCGACATAACCTCAATCCAACCAAATCCACCTCACCCGACATAACCTCAATCCAACCAAATCCACCTCACCCGACATAACCTCAACCCAACCAAATCCATCTTACCCGACATAACCTCAATCCAACCAAATCCACCTCACCCGACATAACCTCAACCCAACTAAATCCACCTCACCCGTCACAACTTGAAACAGGCTGTGGACCATTGTAAAACCCAAGTGTGATGTTTCCATGAAGATACATCCGAGGACAGGGTCTGGGATTCGAACCCACGACGGATGGAGGGACAAATTGACTCAGACACAATTCCAAACAGATTTTATCTCGCTAAAATGTGTTATGGCCAATGCCTCTGTCTCATCAAGTGCGAGGTTATCACTCCATTGTACAGATGATGGTGTTCGTCATCGACACCAGACACCGCCTGTCATCAACTGCAAGAGATGCTGGAGATATCCTACACACAAGCCTGTCCATGCAGCTCCCTCCACGTGACCATCACGTACCGCACACAGCTTCTAGTCCAACTCGACTTTAACCTTACACCCATATTACCGTTATCCTCTCTTGACTTAAAGCAGCTGTTTCCATTTCTTGTTTTCCAAATCCAGGTATATTTCACTGTCGTCAACGGTATGCTTCGAAAGCATAAAAATCTGATTCTGGTATTATTCTGGTTTGTGTTACAGTCTCATTATTATTTAAGACGTGTTGGGTGAGTGAGTGAGTGAGTTTAGTTTTACGCCGAAGTCAGCAATATCCCAGCTATATGGCGGCGGTCTGTCAATAATCGAGTCTGGACCAGACAATCCAGTGATCAACAGCATGGGCATCGATCTGCGCATTGGGAACCAATGACCAACCAAATCAGCGAGCCTTTGAACCCGTTAGTCGCCTCTTACGACAAGCATGAGTCGCCAACGCTTTAGCCAGCATGGGTTGCTGAAGATCCGCCCGGATTTAAGACGTGTTGGGTATGTAGTGGGTTACATAATATATTTGAAAATGAAAATTCGAGTGAGTTTAGTTTTACGCCGCTTTCAGCGATATCATAATATAATAATAATAATACTGGAAATTTATATAGCGCTATATCCAACCACTACATGGGTGCTCAAAGCGCCAACAGTATCACGGCGGTGGGCACCAGAAATGGGCTTTACATATTGTACCAAGGTGGGAAATCGAGCCAGGGTCCGCGAAGTGAGGAGGGAACACCACTAAGCTGCCCCTAAGAATAATGATGATAGAAAACAGGAGAAAAGACCCTTTAATATCTAACATGTAAACATCAGCTGGTTCAAAATCGAAAGTGATATTTAAACTGGTTTCCCGTCTATTCAACCACGATCATCATGTACGCGAGACAGTTTGCACAGAAACAGGTTTCTATGGAGGTCAGACACTAATATACGTAAATACATGTGTGCATAGCATTCGTCTCAGGGGCGTCAGGTATTGATATACATAATGAAATATGGACGTGTAGACAGACAAAGTTGTGCTTGATGGACTTTAACACAGTTTTTGGGACTGTGCAAAACACAGAACCTAGTACCCCACTAACAACTTTTTCTTTCTATCTCGATCTTAAACAAGAGTAAACCCTTTATAGGGGATGGCGCCAGGCCAATATCCGAAGATTCCCCCATGGGGGTGATGTGTGAAGCTTATTTCTTGTATCCCTCGTTTTGATGTTGCTAAAAGCGGCGTAACACTATAGGCATTTAAAAGGGGTAAGCCATAGCTAACTGTTTCCCCCCGTAACTTCTGAATATATTATTCTTTAAAGTATAACTGTTTGCAACGTATCTCTTTGCATGGTGCGGTTAGATTTTGTCTGTTTGCAGTGGATCCATGTGTATCATGCCAGTCCGTAGATAATCGAATATGGACCAGACAATCCAATGATCGTCATCATAACGCAATTGGGGATTAGGTAACATACGTCAACCGAGCCAAAGAGTCACCGAACCACCGGGCCACCGAACCACCGAGCCACCGAGTCACCGAGAACCACCAAACGCTCATTACCAGTATGTCTGGTCTTAATAAACGTACACTTAAAAAAACATATTACAATACGTATGTATAACAGCTACAGCGAGCGAGTGAGCGAGTGAGTGAGTGAGTAGCGAGCAACTGAGTTTAGTTTTACGCCGCGCCCAGCAATATTCCAGCTATATGGCGGCGGTCTGTAAATACTCGAGTCTGGACCAGACAATCCAGTGATCAACAGCATGAGCATCGATCTACGCAGTTGTAATAGTTACCTTGACCTTAAAGAAATAGTGTAATGTGATTCCCGGAGAGTAAATGAAAAAGGAGTCCAACTTAAGCCATTTTCTCAGCTCCGGCCTGAAATGAAGCAATGTGCAGGGTTCCATTTGGACTTTAATATTTTTGTGGACACATATCTTTAATAAGATAAGCTTATTTCTGGGACAAATTGTCCTTCCACGACACACCCGTGAGAAGGACCTTATCGTTAGTGCCACGACGCCAGTATACACTAGCATGTATGGAATGCACCGTGAGGTCAGGGACGTCAAGCACGTCATGCAGATGTTAAATTGCTGAATGCGCAGTTCCTATTTTTATCCTGTAGTGGAAGATAAGAGTGTTCAAAAGAGAGACTGTTACACCAATATGTGTTACGTGATAATTTAACGAAAGGAATACTAGTCTTGTATTTCATCAGGTAATGCGAATACGAGCTCGAGTTTGGTAAAACTGTAAACAAAGGTTATAACGAACTCCCCGCACTAATTTTTGTTCGTCATAACGGTGGTTCGTGGTTCGCATTTGACTAAAACATCAAATATTTGACAACAGAACCGAGATCGTTACATCCATCAGTTCGTTACATCCATCAGTTCGTTACATCCATCAGTTCGGTATAAGCGAGTTCGTTATAAACGTATATTACCATGGCAACTATAGTATGCCACGTGACTTGGTTGACATGTCATCGGTTCCCAATTGCGTAGATCGATGCTCATCATGTTGATCACTGGATTGTCTGGTCCAGACTCGATTATTTACAGACCGCCGCCATATACCTTGAATATTGCTGAGTGCGGCGTAAAACTAAACTCACTCACTCACTAGTATGCCACGTAATCGATATATGATAATGTAGATATAATGCGCTATATTGACTGTCCACATATATAACGCCGCACTCAGCAATACTCCAGCTATATGACGGCGGTCTGTAAATAATGGAGTCTGGACCAGACAATACAGTGATCAACGGTATGAGCATCGACCTACGCAGTTAGGATACGATGACATGTGTCAACCAAGCCAGCGAGCCTGACCACCCGATCCCGTTAGTCGCCTCCTACGACAAGCATGGGTTACTGAAGATCAGTTCTAACCGCGATCTTCACGGGTCACATATATAAGGTATTACACTTGACACATTGTTACTCAGCTACTCAGCGAGTCACACTGCCCTACAACAAGATACAGTGCGCTATATTGGAAAACCGTGTCCTGAAACTAACAAGAACGCACACTAATTTATGCATATAGATATTTTGTGGCCTTTTGAGCCACAGTATAAGTACACACACCATGCTGGGAATGAAACACAAACCACAGGTGCTGAAAACGTATGGCAGGCCTAAAAATACCACACCTTGAGAAGACCGCCTCATAACATGAAATGCACAGTGCAACAGCCAGACTCAAATCTGTTCCTTTTATCAACAGAGAAATCCTTGCAACATCTACCGTTAAAAACCGGTTCTATGTCACAAAGCAAGGACGACTATGCTGGCTGGCTGGTTGGTTTGTTGCTTTGCGCCGCACTCAGCAATATTCCAGCTGTATGACGGCGGACCAGACAATCCAGTGATGAACATCCTGAGTATCGATCTACGTAATTGGGATAAAGTGAAGGGTGTGACCTTAGCAGCTAACCACAGGCGGAAAGGAGTGCGGTTGTCCTTGTTTTTACGCCATATTCATGAAGGAATCATAAGACAGCGGAAAACGTTGCTGGCGATGCAGCGGTGAGTGGTGTTCCCAGAGGCGACAGTGTCATGATGTGGGGTGGTATCACAAGCCAGAGAAACCTGTTTGGTTATTGTGCTAGGACATTTACTGTCAAGGGATCGTGTTGAGGTAATAATGTGTCCAGTCGTTGTTCCATTCGCTAGAATTATCCACAGAAAGTTTGAACTGTAGGCTGACAATGCCCGACCACATCGTGCCCTGGCCACCAGCGAGTATAATTATCCGATGATAAGACACGTGGACAATAGACCGGCAATTCTCTTCCCACTGAGAGTTACTCAAGTCGTATCTTCCAAACCTACGTACGTGGGAAGATAATGACTTGAGTAAC